CAAGACTTCTAGATAACAATGCTAAAGCTGAAAATTAAAAAAATGCTAATGTCCTTGTTAAAGCCAGATTCAATATTTTAAAGTGTAAGAGGATCATATATCTGTCATAGACTCCAGAGCTTGAGGGCATGAGCTGCCTAAAATTGAAGCCTGCTTTCCAGCCTTGTCTGATTTGTTATTAATACGTGTAAAATGAAGGGGAGGTTTCAGAGCTTATCTGAAGGCTTGAGGAACAGGCTTGGCTACACTTTTCTGGCAGCATCCTCTGATATATGTGCAGGTGAAAAGCAGTATCATTTGATAGTACCAGCAAGGGAGAGGCACAGGGCCAAGAGGCCTATAGCACTTCCTGAGAGAGAAGCAAAGCCTATTTCTGGTCTGATATTAAACATCTAGAAACAATTTTAGAAAAAATAAACATCTAACATTTGGACTAATAATTGGGATTCTTGGCCAAAGACATGTAGTGACTGGAGGTGTCTATGAACTACAATCATAGAATGGTTTGGGTTGGAATGGCACCTGTCTAGCTTTTTCTCTCCTTGTCCTGGTCTTCTCAATGCTGACCATTCTTATCTGCCCTTCATTCAGGAGAAACTGATGATGTCTTAGTACTTCACAGGCATGTTCTGTTTAAGAGCCAGCACCACAAAAAGATTTACAGATAAAGCCACTAGACTTTAATACCTTCTCACACATGGTCCTCTTTTCCTGCCCAGTTGTAAAATCTCAGTGAGAAATGAAACCTGCATTACTACCTAAGCTTTCACTTTGCCCTCGCCCTCAGGAACCTCCCCCAGAAACCAGACTTTCTCCTGACCACAGCAGCCTGCTTCCTATGCAATACCCCCCCTCTGGAAATACATGTAGTAGTGCTTGGGAGAGCAGCAGCCCTGGGGCTGAAGACAGTGGAACCCAGGAAGGCAGAACCCAGAGGCTCAGCCACACTTCCCTTGACTTCATCTGCTTTTCACATCTTGCATGCTGCTATTTTCCCTGCTACACAAAAGCAAATGAAAGGGGCAGAGGAGAAATAAGGTTGCTAACAGCACCAAGGCTTACTTTGCATAAGATTATACATCACGATGCATCCCCCGCTGCTGAACAGTCCCATGAAAACAGCCATTTGCTTCAGTTTTCTTAGAGAAGCTGGCATTTTTCCTCCCTGAAAAGAAAAAGGGAAGATTTTTGTTGTAAAAGAAGAAAACTAAAGGGTTATCCCCCCCTGCTTTCCTACAAGCCTTCCAAGCAGGCCTGAATGAAAGCACACAGCACAGGCATCGGGCTCTCGCTTGCTGGGGCCCCACTGTGCGCCCAGAAGGAAGGGTGGTGAGAACAGAGCAAACCAGGGACCCAGCCGGGTTGAATGTGTTTATTCAACTTCTTTTAGCGATGCCACCACTTTGCTAATTGCCGAGAAGAAAACGACCTCCCCGGTGTGGCTGGGGGCCAGCACCGTGGCGCATTGTTGTGGGGGCTCACGGTGCCTGTGCGCTCGCTCACACGCTGCCAGCATTCAGGCTCCGGGGGCCGGATTTCTCTCTCGAGTAAACTCCTCTAAAGTAAACACGCTTGCGGCAGGGCTGGATTTGGCCTGAAGTGGTAAGGGACAGAGCCAAGCCAACGCTGTGCCAGCAAAGATAATGGAGCCAGGGTGTGTGTATTCTGTTGTGTTGTTTTTTTTCCCAAGCCATGGATAAACAGGAAGGTTCTTGCAAGCTATTTTTCTTCCTTCCTGCACCGCCCCCAGCCCAAGCTTGCCCTTTTAATGAGTCACAATTTTGGCATTTGAATGAATGACCCAGCAGAATAAGAAACACCTCTGAGAAAGTCAATCAACTAAACACTTCCACAGTTTGGGTAATAGGGGGACCGTGTGGCCTGATGAGCCTGAGCTAACGCTCCTGCCCACAGCAGGTTAGTAGGAGTCAAGCTGAGTCGTCAGTGGGAGAGTAGCGTGTTGCTTCAGGCTGTGGCAGGATGGGACTTGACCGAGCATCCAAGTATCGGCTTATGCTCTTGCTTCTCTCACAGCTGGGATGGTAGGGAGGAATGGTCTTGAGAGCAATTAAAAATTAAAAAAAAAAAATATAGCAAAATGCTGCCCTTTTTGATGCAGGCACATAGACATCTGAATACCTAGGGAAGCTGTACAGGATTTCTAATTCCAAAGGCGTCACATGTTGATCCTTGTGCCGTGAATGGTGTGACTTGTGTTACACTCAGTGAGAGCCAGTTAATAAAGCAAGGCCCAAACCAGTTACAGAAATGTGACCTGGGCAAGGCCGTTTGAGTCCTGTTGTGAAAACCACCTCTAGCACCCCTCAGGTATGCGTTAGTCAGGTATTGCTCAGCCGACAACCACAGTTTAGAGAGGGCGGAGAGGCAAATGTCAGGACTCCTTTCCGTCGTGGCCGGGTCAGGGTGACATGGGCGGCCTCCCTCTGCTCACTGCTTTGCTGACATGCCTGTACGCCATCTCTTGCGCCCTCTAGCCTGAGGGAAACTGTGAATGCAACCCAGGTACAACTTTCATCTGCTGCCCCATCGGCACTACCACTCAATCGTAACACATGCTATCCCTTAATCGAAGGCTTTCCTTGTTGACTAGTTCCCTTGATTTTAAGAGTTTTTAAATATTTAAGTTTACTGTTTAATTTACTTCAAATTTAGAGATGGCTAGTAATGATAGCAACCCAGAGGAGCATGTGGGTATTATGTCCATTATATGCCCCAAAAATCCCCAAATTGTGCCATTGGTACAGTCAGCCATCATCTCTCTCACTCCTGATGTATTTCTCTGAGTTTTCTTCACTTCCCCTGGGGAACTTGAGCAGCATGAGAAGTTGCAGCAGAGGAAGTACAAGTGTGTTTTTACAGAGAAATGGTGGCAGTCGTTTCACAAGGACAGTGAGAGCTTTCTGCTTGCCCACTTGTGTTTGCAACTTTCCTTAAACAGCAATTTATAACGTTATTTTTCCTCCCCTCAATCTGCAAAATCTGATTAATAATCGAGTTTCCCATAAGATCTGCCTGGCCAGGAGGAGGATCTGACACCAACACCACATAACAGGGAGGAGGAAAGAGAATAAAAAAAAAAAAAAAAAAAGGTGGTAAATCTGGAGAGTGGATCAGATATAACAGGCTGTGACTTGTGGCATTTGTTTTTGCCCCTTTCAAAACTGTGCCCAGGCAAAATTTGCTTTCTGTGATGAAATTCAGGGTAATTGAACAGAAATGGCGGGGGGGTGGGGGGTGCTGCCAGCAGTTTGAGTAAAAGTGGGAAGACGTGGAGCTCTTGCACCAGCGAGGAGGTTTTGACTGAGGCTCAGGGGACCTGCCTAGCAAAGGATGGAAATTAGAGGCTCTGCAACTTCCTGTCAGCGGGTTTGAGGTTTGTTAAGTCTCACGGTCTGCTCGCACCCAAACAAGGGGGATGGAAAGTAAGAGGAGCTTCGTGCTGATCAGTCATGTGCTTGTGCATGATCTCATCACCACCTCTGCTTGCAGCAGGTCAACGGCCGCAAGTGCCTCAATGGTGCCATGCCGAGACAGTGCCATCTGGCAAGGGAACTTGTCAGCTGAGAAATGGTGATCCCAGTAAGCCCTGCTGCCCCATGCCGCGCTCCAGGCTGCTCCTTATGTGCTGCCCCCACTTGCAGCCATTGCCAGTTGCTGGTCCTGGTGAGGCAGGGACGTGGGGGGGCTGAGGCGAACCCAAGTTGCAAAGCCCGCACTGGCTCTGCAAAGGTCTTCATTGCTGTAACAGGGAGAGTATCTCCGTTGCTTGCTTTCAGTTGCAGGGGAAAGCCCGCAGGCTGGACCACGCCATCCTCAGGCTAGCCCTTGATGCTCTCCTCCCACTTGTTTCTCAGCTGTTTTCCCAAGCCAGTCCTATGACAGCATGTTGTAGGAAGAGGTTCAGAGCTACGCGTTTTAACAAGCCTCTCAAGACATTGCAAACCTTCTTTTTGATCCCACAATTCCATGTTAGCTTCCAAAAGTGAGGACAGACATGTCTTTGGCACCCAGTGCATCCCTCACAGGAGGGCTGCTGCTCCCCTTCCCTGCCATCATGGTCTCTTGTGGCATGGATGTCCAGATATTGCATCCAAATCCTTGAGCATCCCTCAGCATGCAGCTGCTGATGACTTCTGAATGACGACACTGGAGATACTAATGGTGTCAGCTTGTGGAGGACCGAAACGTAGTAAGGAGCTGTTGTCTGTGAGGACTCGTCATTACAATTTCTGCCCTCTGGCCAACCCTGTTTGCTGCTCCCATCTGCTGCTGTGCTGAAGTGCCATGGAGGTGGCTCGCCAGGGAAGGGAAGCAGAGACGTGCTCGGAGATTTGTCTCCTGTCCTGAGCCTTTCTGAAAATTACTTACAGCCTGCAAAGCGTAGAGGCTATTAAAGGGAGGGGCAAAACCCCCTCGACTTCATGTGCCACAAAGGGAGTAACTGTAAGACAATGCATTTAGGAGAATCATATAGATACAACCTGCAATTGCCTCCTAAGGAGGGAAGTTCACATCGCTATCTGTGGTGGAGATCTCCCCTCAGAACCTGTTATACCACTAAAAAGTATGCAAGTCAACTGGTGGAAAAACAGATTTCTTCACAGCTGGTAATTAAAAAAAGCACAATTTCCAAGCTACGCTGTTCTGCAAAAACATCTTTTCCCCCATGCTATTTGCAGCGGTAAGAAAGATAAAGTAGAGATTAGCACACACAAAACCACTAAGCCTATGGTTACCAAAAGAAGAGATATTAAATCATTATAAGTAATGTTCTCTAAAAATACATATTAAAGAGCAGAACTTCCTAATAAAGGCAATGTTCATTTTGTGCCTTGAAAATAGTGAGTGAGATATGGTGAAGGTAGTATTCAGGCTTAACTTTGAAACTAAGCAGAACTTGGGCACTTAACAACAAGATTTAGCAAACCCAGAGAGGTGGAAGACTCCCAGGGTCACATGTGAAATGGTGGGTTACTGCAACAATAAAGTCTGGTTTCAATTAAACTTTGTTTTCTTCACAGAGAATCTTCTAAAAATAGGCTGGGCTCAAGGGATTCTCCCCTATTTCAGCAAATTCAGGTTTTCTGTTTTGGTCTCTGAAATTTGTGTGGCAGAGGTTGGTCTCAGGCACCTCCATGGAAGGCAGGTAGCAGTGAAGCAAGGGTGTTTTCACCAAGCCACAAACATTCATCTTATTTGCCTCAGACCTGAGTGAGGGAGCTGGGGCTGCAGGTTCTTTGAGGAAAGCATTTCCTCCCCCTTCTCTTCTTCCTTCTCCTCCTTCTGGCACTACCAAGTTCCACCAGCACCTCCAGCTTCTGGGTGCTATTGCAGACCGAACAGTAAACAATAATACTGCTCTGAAATCAGAGAGAAGCAACTTGATCCATGCAAATGCAGCGTGATCACTATGGACTATCTCAATTTGAGCCACTGCCTACCCGCCTGGCCAAGACAATATACTCCCAGGCCACTGATATAAGCAGCTGGGAGCCTTTAAACCACTTTGAACCACTGTAGTCCTGAGGTGTCAGCATGACACACTAAATATGTGTGGCAAAAGAGTACTATTAAATTAAAACTTATCAATAGGCCTGAACATGGGCCTGAGCATCTAACTTCAAGGCTGGAACTGTTGCCTAACCCTTCTGCAATGAAACTCTCCCTTGGGCTGGTGGGATTTGAGTCAGCCTCAGGTCCAGGTTTTTGCAAGCCACCCAGGTAGTCATTGAAGTCACAGGAGATGAGGGCAAACCACAGACAAGCACAAGCACACACTTGTATTTCACATTCTTGCTCTCTTGCCCATCCATTGATCTTGTAAGATCCATAAGGCATTTGTGTGTGAGCCAATTTTTGTACTAATAACATACCAGGACAACATTTTAGAGACAGCTTCTTGACACTCACTGTCTACAAAACACCTTCATCATCAGTACTGTTACCAAAGAGAGGACAGTACAGCAGAAATGTTTCAACGGGATCATAATCATCAGAGGGCTGGAGCACCTCTCCTATGAGGACAGGCTGAGAGAGTTGGGATTGTTCGGCCTGGAGAAGAGAAGGCTCCGGGGAGATCTAATTGTGGCTTACCAGTACCTGAAGGGGGCCTACAGGAAAGATGGTGAAGGACGGTTTATGAGGGGGTGTAGTGACAGGACAAGGGGTAATGGGTTTAAGCTGAAGGAGGGTCGATTTAGATTAGATATAAGGAAGAAATTCTTCGCTATGAGGGTGATGAGATACTGGAACAGGTTGCCCAGAGAGGTTGTGGATGGCCCCTCCCTGGAAGTGTTCAAGGCCAGGTTGGATGAGGCTTTGGGCAATGTGGTCTAGTGGAGGGTGTCCCTGCCTGCAGCAGGGGGGTTGGAACTAGATGATCTTTGAGGTCCCTTCCAATCCAAACCATTCTGTGATACTATGATCATTTCAGCATATTATTTTC